GACAAAACAGTGTTACACGTCCCACCTTCTCATGAGCAAAAAGGCCTCTGATCAGAAACAAAACGCGCCTGCTTTATACAGCCGAGGACCAACCATGATTTGCAGGCAAATGATGAGACAACGAGATTTTGCATTAACTGCCATTTTGGTTCCTTTTACCGCTGAGCAAACCGGAGTTTGCACATCGCACAGATTCGCAGGCGTTTCCGAGGTAGGCCATTTTCACAATTTCCCCACAAATTATGATTGTCTAAGCCAAAATAAAATTCATAAAACAAATTTTTATCAAAATTAACTAAATATTACCATGTAAAAAGTATCTTCATCAATATTCAAATTGTCAACATAAAAGTTTGTAATGTTTGAGATTTATTTATCACATAAACTTGTACAAAACTAGCTGAGCTAAAGAGAGTCTAGTTTAAACTTCTTTGTGGTTACAGGACATCTTGAGATGTGTTGCCACCATCCTTCTAAGGGCAGTTTGGGGATGCTACATGTGAATATCTGTCGGTATACCTTATGGTGACATTTCCTAGGCCATATGTATACACAAGATAATGATAATGGTAAATTTTGAAAGGAAGATAGCAAGAAAGCTTTTCCAGCTTTTAGAAGTGTGTACACAGTGATAGGGAGTACCACCATTTGTCCTGAAATGAGTGTTCCTTCTATTGTGAATGTCAATATGCTATGAGGTTTTTCTCTTGGACAAAAATTAACCTCTCTGAAAGCTGGTCATTGCCTAGAACAGCATTATATTGAATGTCAGAGGAACCATATGAGAAAGTTTGATAGAAGTTCTTGACCTCAGGAGGGATTTGATGATTGAAATGCCTCAGTAATGACTTTGCATCACTCACCTAGCTAGTGATTTGAGGAATGTTCTGGATTAACAAAAGATCTTTTGCAGTGGGACTGGTTGTTCTACTAGAATGTGTCCATTGCAGGGATATGGAGGAATCTATTGAGCATGCTTTCTTTCATTGCACAGTTGTATACCTGTTGTGTAGGCCTGTTGAATTTTGCAAGATTTGCTACAATTCTTTGCCTGGGAATTCAATTCCATTTGTAACAATGTGTAACGATCACTTCACAAGTGTTTCTGTGGTTATTATTTTGTCTTTTTGTCCCATTCTATTTTTAGTGTTAGTTCAACCAAACAGCTCTACTAATATTGGCTAAAAACTGTTGAGTATAATATTCCTTTTCTGTTACCAATCTTGACAAAACTTTGTGATTTCTCAATGTGCAAGTTACATAATAGTTAACTGTGCAGAAAGAAGAATTGCTGAGTCAAGTTAAAGTTCTAGAGTAGTCTGTTGTATTCACTCTAATGCTCTCAAATCCATCACTTCTCATCCTTCAGCTATGGGTTAAATAGCAGACTAAACTAAGCTCTTATTGGTTAGAAATTAACATTACCATGTGAAATATTTGGCCAATCAGAGAAAACTGATTTTCTCAAGCCTACTTTCAAGAAAGATTTCAACTATCAAGGAGCATACATGCTGTTCAAGATGTGGCTAAATAGTGTCTTCCTTTTCCCCCAGAGTTTGCTGAAAGAAATGTGTATTGGTGACTTCAAACAAATCAGTTATAACAGCAACAGCTTGGACAGTCAGTGAATCTTTGTTGACAATAAGTTGGCGACTTCAAACGAATCTTCTCCAATAAAAAGAACAAAGATAGTCAGTGAATCTTTTCTAATGTTAAAAGTCTTTTCTCAACCACGGCTTTTTTTTTTTTTTAACCATGGATCAAATATTTAAAAGTCTTTTCTAAATTACAGACTTTTTCTGTGAAGGAAATATTTAAAAGTCTTGTCTAAACCACAATTTGTTCTGTGAACCAACCACCCACAAACCAAATAAAGACTATTTTTACTTCTTTTTGACTCTTTTGAATTCATATATATATATATATATATATATATATATATGTTTGTAAATACAAATGATTTATTTAACAGGCATACACATATTTTCTTTATGTTTAGTTTATTATTGTTTGGAATTTGGATGTTTAATATAAAAAAACCTAGACAACTGAATTTCCTGCACTCTCTTGCCTTGGGTGGCAGCCAGTTTAGGAGGAGTACAACTGAATTCAAAACTGTGAAGGAAGGCAATGGGAAATCACTACTATCTTTCCCAAGAAGGCATAGCAATTTACAGATAATAAAGAAAAGGTCATCTATGGAGAGCTGTGATCACCTTCAACCTGTGGAGACAGTATAAAAAAAATAAGCTGTTTTTCTTTTCCTTTAAAAAAAATCCTATATTATCTAATTCACTGTTATGCTTACAATGTTTTTACATTTACAATTCCATTGATTTTAGTAATATTAACATGGAATTTTTTAACACATGGTAATATGGTCACTATGCATATCTAAAAAATCTTAATCGCTATATTTTTTAGCAGAAGAAAGCTTACATTTTTACACAAACTAAAAAATACAATATTCTACATTTCTTAATAAAGACATTTTGCATTTCCTTAAGACTTTCAATGCTTTTTTCAACTCAAACTAAAAAAAACAAACAGAAACCAGAAGAGCAAATCTATCTTGAAAACCTTGTTTAATTTGACAATAAATATGTTTGTATTTTTACTTAAAATATAAATGAAGTTTGTTAGTTCTTTCTTGAAACATGACATCAAAGTAATTTTATATATAAAAATTAATTTTTTTTATATATATAAAATTTATTGAGGCTGTTGTATTACATTTAGTTAGGACAGCACCAACAATAAAAAAATAAAATTATAAATAAATATATTTTTAAAAAGTGTACGATAATTATTTATTGCTTTTTTTTTTTTTAGTTTTTTATGAGTACACAAATATCAATATCTTGAACTGCTTGTTGTCAATCACCCAATAAAGAACTGTTTCTGATCTGAAAGTTGAACAAAAATCACTTGTAAAAATGTAAAAACTACTTTACTTACAGCTTAGTAAAACTAAAAGTGACTCACTAGATAAGCATGGTTTCTAAGGAACAGTAATACTTTACTTTAGCGACTGCGTTATTTTATATATTTATATTTTTGTACTGAATGGGAATGAAAAGACAGGACAAAATCGGTTAAAAACTGGTAGGTTTCCCAAGCCAAATTTGAATGTTTTTTAAGCCAAAGCCAATTTAGTATGCAGTGTTGTTAAATTTACTTCTTAGTTACCCACGCTTCACACTCACAGACAACTGAACCTGAGTGTTTTTTTGACTATATTGATCGATCAAATCTTTATTTTTAATGTCGAATTTTTTTTTCAGAAAACTTGGCTGAATTTTGTTGCTTCATCATTAACAAATGAATAAAACAGACAAAATGATATGGCGCCTTATTCAAATCAATCATAATAATTTTGAAAGAATGAAATTCGATTTTGATTTTTGAAAAAAAGATCGTGAATTTTAAGAAAAACGTTGTTGTCTATTGTGATTTTCTTGACTTCTCACAAACTCAGTGCAATAGCATGAAAATTAAATAAAGAAAATATTAAGAAATCTGTTTTTAAACATTTTCTCAGTTACCAAAAGAGACTTATTACTTTATTTTATTTTTTTTTATTTATTTTTTTTTTTTTACACGTGGGACTTTTTCAAAGCTTAGCGCTTCAATTTAATTGGTTATTGATTTTTTTTTTTTTTTCCGTCAGACTGGTCTAAAAAAAATATTTGTGCCAATGAAAGATAAAACTGCGACAATAAGTGACTATTATTGAGTTAAATTGACCATCACAACACAACCAACAATCACCGTGGTGGAAATAAAGAAAAAAAATCGAATTTGGATGGATAGATTTTTCTTTGACTCTTTTTAAACAAATGCAAAATTATTTTTCAAATGAAACGCGATAAAATACAGAGCCGTGGGGAGATTTCAAAGTCAAGATCTGTTTTTTTTTTTTTTTTATTTTTTCTTTTATTTATTCTTACTTTAATTTTTTTGGTAAACTGAAAAATAAGCGTAAGAAAATTTTATATGCAAAAAAAAAAAAAAAAAATATATATATAGTGTTGTTGTTGATTAGTTCAAGGTGGAAAATATTTTCCCAAACTCTTAATTTTAATTAAGGTTTAACATTTCTAAAAAAGATTTATGTGCTTTTATAATGACACGATAATTTTATTTCAATCATCAATCAACAGAAGTTATATTTTAGTTAAAAAATCATGTCATTTTATTTTTTGAAATACAAACTAAAACAGAAAGGAAGAAGCGGTAGAACAATTGATTCGTTTTACTTATGCAGTGTGTAGTTAGTAGTTGCTTATCCGCACGCCCACGTCGTTATAGAATGTGACACAAGGTCAACGCTTAAGAGAGAAATCCGATCAAAAATTGCTCAAACAAATGACCCCAGCCTCTTCCCGAAGGAGAGGTACAGCCGGGGGGGGGGTGCGTTACGGTGGAGATTTGAGCTAATATTAATTACAAGTTTTCCCGGCTGGATGCAGTGTATAGCAAAACTATTACGATTTTTAATGCTCAAATTCAAATAAGTACAAGAAAATTATGATGCGCCAATACACGAACAAGTGGGTGAGTGAAGACTTGCTGTTTTGAAAATCAGAATTTGACCACTGATTTCTGTATCAAGTACACAAAAAAATTGATCCACCAACACAAATGTCATTGTTTAAAACTTTTAAAAATAAAATAAGATCGCTAGTGTTTTTACGAAAATAAGTGAGCTTTTAATTTTAAATAAAATTTATTTTTGGTGTTTTCTTCATTTAACATTTTTATTTTTAAACAGTGACAAGAAATAATATTTTTTTATCTGGAAAAATTCTTTAGTCGTAAAGAAAAATAACGCAATATTTTCTCTGTTTTTACTTGAATTTTGTAATTGGTGTTTTTTTTTTCTTTGCTTTTTAAACTTTTATTAGTAGAAAAATTTACTAACTACCTTTTATTAGCTTTATTGTTTTACTGTTTCTTTCTTCACAGATGGATACAAAAACAAACAAACGAGAACTTACCTGCCAAGTTCTGAACCCATTGTATATTTCTGATCAAAATTAACATCTTTGATGCTTTCAGCAACCCAATATTCCGAATCTTCCTTCATGTTTCCTTTTCTCGACGTAATTGTTATTTTTTTAAAATCCTTACAGATACAACACCCGATTTTTTTTTTATTTGAATGAGATTTAAGTCAACAAGAAGAGCAGATGTTTACTAGCACTAACTAATAGGATCCAGCCAGAGATATAAAAATAGCCACGTGCACCTGTGGTCAGTTCAGTCCAGAGTCAGAGGGCATATAAACAATTCATCCAATTTAAGGAGCAATTGTCCCAGTATGTTGTCCTGGTTATCAATGTTAATAAAACCAGCACGGTTCTCTGCTTTTGCTGTAATTGTCCGTCTGCTTTTCTCCAGCAATCCCTTGTTCACTGGACCGTTGACTGACCATCGACTAACGCTGCGTTTCGACTGACATGCGACGCTTGCCGCAGTTACTCATACTTGATTAAGTCGACTAGAGTAGTCTCCCTTCGATTGGATAGCACTCCAAAAAAACGTAAAACGTTAATTAAACAATTAAAATAATGTGTAATTTTGAGTTATATTATTGGGATTTGCTCAATATGAGTGTAGGCGCGACTTAAAAGATTAAACAAAAACTGAATTGAATCAGAAAAAAAAATATGCTTAAATGAATTTACAATTTTGTAACACATCGCACAAAATATTTATCTGCACCAAGAAATCACTAAAAGGTTAATATATGTAAGTAAATATATCTAGGGAGGGTAACAAATATTTAAAACAAAAAGAAAGTAATTTAAGTTGTATTGCTTTGGAATTAACTAGCTTAAAAGCTGCTCTATTGGTCGGTATTTAAGCTAGCTCCTGTGGAGAGCTCTTGATTGTTTCGCCTTCATCACAATAGATAGGGAGAAGTAAATGCGATAGGCAACAATAAACTACAGAAGAACTCACAACTGATCACAGCATTTAAGTATTGCATTAATATTTAAGCTTACTTTTTAAAAGTTAAACAATTCTTCTTCTGCCACCACTTAAAGAAAATTTGATGTTCGTAGGTCCTTACTTTCCGTACAAACAATTATTTTTATTTCATGGGTGATTTTTGCTGGATATTGCAATTAATTTTGATTATTCCCAAATTTATTTCCCAGTCATGAAAATTATTATCATACAAAAAATTTGTCACAAAAAATCACATTAATATATATATATATATATATCACTAAAAACAATCATAGTAATGAAAATTTGGGAATCCAAAATTTCAGGATTGCAAGTCCGGATTAAGCCTGGAATGCTCTTCATTTGCTCATAGAGTCGGCCTCATTTCAAAATGCTATGAGAAATGGTAATGGAAAGTTGAAAACACAGACAATTTTATTTTGAAATACTGTAATTTGAGAACAGTCACTTTTTCATTTGAACATAAGCTATTGAAAGTTAGAGTTGTGTCCCTTTAACTGTTTTTATCAGTAGAAGCCAAAATGGCAGAATCTGAAACCAATCACAGTAATGAAAACTTGGGAATACAAGATTTCAGGATTATAGGTCAGTATCCAACCCAGAATATTTTTAATTTGTTCATGGAGTCGACCCGATTCCAAAATGGTATGACATGTTGGGCTACAGCCTCTAAGAGTAAAATTGAAAAAATGTGATACTGACACATTGACATTCATATTTATTATATAGATGTGTGTTGCATATGTTTTAAGTTCATGTACATTAGGATAGTTTGTATGGTTGAAAAATTCAATTAAAGAAAACATTCTTTGGAGTTTCAACAGCAGTTGTCAAAAGCCATGTAGAAAGGTTAAGTAGAAACCAGGGAAGCAAATTGTAGCAATTTCCGAAGAGAAGAAATTTTATATCTTTTGTTTGCAGAATCGGTTTGATTTTATAACTATCAAATTTCTTCTTTCAAAAAATCACATATCTAGTTAAGGTGTACTAGAAAGACTGGCTATAACATTCTCTTACTGAATTTTATTCAATGTATTATTGTCTGTTTCATCATCTTGTCATCTGTTCTAGTTTTCTTGTCTCTCACTTCCAAGTTCTGAATCCAACAGGCTTCAGATGATTTCTGATATTTTCATTTCAAGAATGGTTTTTGGAAAGAAAAGAGTCTGCATTTTATTTTTACTCTTTATCTTTTTAACTTCTGAATTTTACAACACACTTTGATTAGAAAAATTTCTAAGGGCGTGGAAAGGATTTAAGATTCCTTCTTTGTTTTTCAATAAATTTTGTAAATGTGTTTATTTTGTAACAAATACTTTGTATACCATTAATGTGAATCATAATGAATGTTTATTAAAATATATTGCTATTAAATTATTTTGGAAGTATCTTTTACAATAGCTTTACATACTTCATTGATATTCTCCTGGGCCACTTGAATAGTTCATTTTTGTTTTTATTATTTTTCTTTTATTAATACCTCTTAACTCTAAAACAGAGTTACATTAGTAATAGTTTTTTGTCAAAAACATTTACTGCTTTCATTTTAAGAATATTTGAAACAGATCTCAGTTTTCAATAAAAATTATGTGGCTTGTAAAGAGTATATATATATATATATATATATATATATATATATATATATAGGTAAATATCTTTTCTGTAGGACAGGTAAAAAATATTTAAAACAAAAAGTCATTTAAGTTGTATCAGTTTTGGAATTATTAAGTTAACCCATTAACTGCCAAATGTTTTTAATGCATATTTTTAGCCCAGACAGGTGTCTTAGGAGTTTATTTATTCCTTATGTTTAATTTCAGTAGTTACCATTGTCATTTTTATAGAAACTAGAACATCAAATATATATGTGTATAAAACATCAAAAAATAATATTGATGAGAAATAATAATAAAATTGTGGTGAACAGCCCCATAGAAGCAAGCGAGCCAGAGTGGCTTGCATCTGGTGTATAGGAAAATAAGGGTCTTACCTTAACGTGCAGCACGTGACATCAGCAAGTTTGCTCTGTGAAAATGGCACTATTCTCCCGTCCAGCCATTCTAGCAGTATGTGCAGTGATGAGGGTTTTTTGTACAGTTTGGCATGGTTCCACCAATAGCAAGTCATGTGCTGATTGGTCGAACTGGAGGAGGCAATTTGCCTGTGTAACCAAGAATAAAAGCGAAGAATGCTGATTGGTTGGTGAACCATAGTGTTGGCCTGATAAAAGAGTGCTGGAGCAGTGAAAACAGGAAGAAACGATGGCTATACGTAGTGACATGTTCAGAAAGCGAGGACGGTGAAGTGAACCAGTGATAGTTTGATTTGTATAAGTGACGTTGCAGCAATACAGACTTATTTAAACTACAAAAATACTTTTCTAAATAGTCATTATTTTTCTATTTGTGAAATGTAAAATTATGACAGAAAGTGCCTTCTTACAGCAAATAATAAAAACTTTAAAGGCTAAGTGTTGTAAAATATACCTCTTCAAATGCAATGTATGTAAGCAATTCAATGTAAATACAAGGAATAACATGTAGTGAGTTTAATTTTAACAGATCCCCAAATAGGGCTCATGGCAGGTAATGGGTTAATGTGTGTATGTATGTTTTAAATTTATGTACATTAGAAGGATAGTTTGTATATATAATGAGAGAGTGCTGAAAATTTATTAACCAGGCTAAAAAAAATCACAAAATATAAAAGCAAATTCAATAAAATAAGTGAATATATTTTCTGTTTTAATACTTCATTAATATTTGGGGGGGACCATGAGAAATTTCTAAACTTGGTTAGACTAAACTTATCTATCTTCACCAGCATTTAGTATAAAAATGAATTTAAAAACAACAAAAAATTATTTTAAAAATAAATTTATTAACAAGGCTTTACAAATTGATACATTTGATGGAATTTATTCTGAAATTTTTATGATGATTAAGGATCAAATTTGAATTTTCTACTGGGAAAAGAAAATGAAATAAAAACCACCAACTGGTAACACAACTTTATTTTTAAGATAAAAAAAAGAAATAATAATAATAATCCAAAGAAACAAAAGCCAAAAAAATAAATAAAAATATTAATGTCTTTCTTTGGTTAAAATTATACAAAACTGCAGAATAGATTTTTTATAACAAAATTTTAACAAACACTATTTTCACTTAGTAACAAAAATCCTCAAATAATCAATTTTATTTTTTTACTGTGTTTGTTATTTGTGAATTATTTTTTTCAATTAAGAGGCTTTGTTTTTAAAATAAATTTCAGTTTGAAAATTATTAATTGATATACTTAGATAATAATAAAGATAAAGAAATATATGATTTGTTTGTAAACTAACTGGACAGGAAACAATAATTTATAAGTATTATTGTTTCATTTAATCTAAACATCAATAACAGAATTTAAAGGTATCAATATACATATGTACAAATGTATTTTATATGTATTCCTTATATGAAAGTATATTAACATTCAAAAATCACTTTGCTTTAAAATAATCATCTGAAATAAAAGATAGCCTTCCAGATTCATGTTAATTTCAAAGATATCGTAAGAATGGTGAGAATGAAAGTAACATCTCAAAGAAAACTACAATGATATTTTGTAGCAGGAATTTTGAAAAACAGGATGTGATTCAATTTAAGATAATTCATATCAATCCTGAGGTATCTTAAGATTTTCTTGGTACAAAAGTAATTAGAAAAACATGTCACAATGGGAAATTTTCTTCCTATATTTATAAATCATAATCATTAGGAAAGCAAAGTTATGAGAGGACGCTGAAAAGCTCTCACTTTCTAAAGTCTGACCAAACATCAAACTTGTTTTAAGGACTTCTTGGTTGGGTTGAGAATATTTCAACCTTCCACCTACTCACCCACTTGAAATAATATAAATTTTAATTACAATAAATCTTAAATCAAATTTAAATATTCTCAAATTTATGATCAACTGACCAATTAGATTTCATATTTTTGATTATGTAAGTCAGCTGCCATGATTCAAGGTTTTTTTTTGAAGAATTCCAAAATGTATAGTGATGTCAACAACTTCAAATTAGTTCTCATAGAAGTTAATATTGTTTTAAGTGAGCAAACCAAA